TTTTTTGGGAGGGGCATGCATTTCCGCTCGTAAATTTCGAGCAAAAAGTTTTCTTCCTGTGCATGATTTTTATGGCCATGTGATTTATTGACATTTCCATTAACGGCTGCATAAATGTTTCAACGCGCAATGCCGGAAGCGATTTCTTGTTTGTTTCGCAGCGGCTTTCCTTTTAGAGCGGCAAACAAATACCAGAAATAAAAACATAAGATTTGCGAGTGTGTATATGAAGGCGAAGGCGCTTGGTACTTGGGTATACCCTGGTCAAAAAGGATATGCACATGCTGCTACCCTATGCAACGAAATATATTTATGTCGACCCCTCGGCTCATATAAATACCTTTTTGAATAGCAAATGTATTAACAATAACCGGATAGTTTGAACTCCAATGAGATCAACATTTACATATTAATAACTAAATCTAGGAAATGCTAATGAAATTTCTAATGTGTCTCTATCCCATCTTTTCACTCCATATCAACTATAAATATTTGTAAATATTTAGCTAGCAATCCTATAGAAAAAAGAATATAAGCTAAGCCTATAACATTAAGAGCTTGATAGATGAAAATTTATTAGATATTCTCGTAATCATTTATTGAGGCTTTATATCCAATAGAATCAAAATAAATACTCATATGCGAGTCTATATCCTATGTAACCAATTCCTACTTCATCAACCAGTCGTGGCTCTATATCATTCAAGAGCATGCGCTGCATACCTTTCTCCTTCATTTTATAGGGCATTAAAAGAATGCCAAAAGATTGCCAAGTCCTATGGCAGCAAATCAAAATGCAAAACGGAAAACAAAACCAGGAGCATCGGCAACAGCAGCAACAACTTGAATACTGGCCGGAGACTCGAACATAAGTCAAAGTTTTGCCGGCAGTTGCAGCTGCAGCTGCACTCGTTGTGGCTGCTTGCAACATCAGTGGCGACCCGTTGAGCGAAGGACTGCCGCCCGCTATTAACTAGGTGAGTGCGGCATATCAAAGGAAATGGCGCAAAAATATGGCACGCGGTAAGCAGTTGACTCAAGTGCAAGTCTGGAGCACTGCTGCAAGTGCAGCAACTGCTGCGACTTGCTCTGCTTTTACATTTCTTCAAAATTACTTTTCCTTTTTTCCCTGCATTTTTGGCTTCTTTTTTTTTTTTTTTTTTTTTTGTGCATTTGGCTGCTTTTGAACAACTCCCGAAAAGTTTCCGGTAGTGCAGCAAATTGAATGCGTGGCCTCTGAGCGCTTTTTGGCATTTTAGCTGCAGATTCACCGCAGCTAAACTGGGCTCAGGCGGCCCATGTGCGTTGGTTACATATTTTACGTTCGCTTTTTGGGATGTGGATTGGGTATTTGGTATTTGGGCAAGTACTTACCCTGCGCCGAGGTACAGGTGGTTAGCTGCGGCGAATATCGATCGGTTAGCCTTTTGATCACATCAATTTGCTCCAGCGTCAGCTGCACTGCATCGCGATGCTGGGCCTCACAGGGCACGTAGGCTGCCCAGAACTGCAAATGAGAGAGAAATGTTTCGTTCGGGTTAATCAGAGGTGAATTGGTATAAAGTAAAGGAATTGATTTAGGTAATGAATTTATAAAGTTTTTTTCGTATAATTTTTGCCTCTAATACATTTTTATTGCTTTGGAGTTTTCAATTGTTCATAATTTCAAGTATTTTCAAACTCATAAGCATATTTTCAATTTGTTTCCTAATTGTATAAGGTAATACAAAAATACTTAATAAGCCCAATTATTGCAGTGAAATTTTGTATCCATTCATATTCGAGCGTTTTAGCACACAAACTCTGTTTGCTAGAAGAATTTATGTGCATAAGACTTTCAATTATTTTACTTAGTTCTATTCTCTGGTCTGGTCGGTTCTGGTCTATAAACTACTTTCCAAATATTTGTAAAAATTTACATTTGTTTGTACTTGTTACACCTGCATTTGTTTATTATATATACATGTGAGCACACACACACACACACCCACACACACTTTGCCACATAGAAAGAGGAGAAATTGGAGCAGTTATCCATTTATTGCCGCATTTCATTATTTGCTTTAAAATGCCAGGCAACCCAGGGGCTTGCATCATCTAGGGGTGTTAGTCAAGCAGCATGGGAAGGAGGGTGGGGGGTGGGGTGTTCCACAACTCCACAACATCCAGTAACCAACTAATGACATGTGGCAACAATAGCAACAAAAACAACAACAACAACAACAACAACAACAATGGCAATACAAAATTTTGCAAATACCGTATGTAAACGCTCGTTCGTGCAATCGTAATGAACGCTGTCAGTGTAGAGGTGAGACACACAGGTAGACACCGGGCCTGGCGGTGCCTGGTCAGCTCTGCAATGGCCGTACAATTAACCCGAATTGAGGCAAATGCTCATGCACTTTTGTCCCCAGATAAGCTGGCAGAGCAAGAGATGTGGGTATAGCACCCGGAACTGAGCAGAAATTACTGCAGGCCACGGGGGAGCGGCGCCTAAGAGTTACCATGCAGAATGCAGAAAGTAATGGTGGGGCACAAAGATAATATGTAGGCGATAAGAGAAATACCCTGTGACATCCGGATCCAATGAGTATATTATTCAAATTTTTATAGGAAAAATAACAAATTTAAATAAAATGTATAAAAAAATTTTATTTTTTGGGCTTACAAAGATATATAAATACTACAAAATATAAAATTGAT